CTGTCGTGGCCAACGTGACGAATGAGAATTCTAGAGAGGCTTGCGTATTTTGTCAGGACATGCATTATGTATATTTGTGCGAAAAGTTTCGATCGTTGGATGCTTATGCGCGGTTCAAATTTTGTAAAAAAGAGAATTTATGTTTAAATTGCCTGGGGAGGGGACACCGTCTCGCTGATTGTTCCTCGAAGCGCTGTTGTAGTCATTGTCGGAAGCGTCATCATTCATTGTTGCATTTGCAGCCAGCTGGGGGCCCAGGGCCGGCTGCTTCGCAGACAGGAGCACATCAGGCTCAGACAGTTCATTCCGATTCTTCGAATGGTAGTAAGAAGATCACTGCTGGTGGATCGACACTCGTTTTTGCGGCTTCAATTGATGGTCGAGTTCTACTTGCTACAGCAAATATTATTTTGAAAAATCCGAAAGGTGGATCGCATGTTATTCGTGCGCTTATAGATCCGGGTGCTGAATGGTCTTTTCTGTCAGAGAACGTAGCCTCTTGCTTGTTATTACCTCGGAATAGGATTTCAGTATCAATTTCAGGCGTTGGATCAACGGTTTGTGCTAGGGCGTCGCACGAGGTCACTGCTCTGATCGGCTCCAGTGTGGATAGAGAATTCGTGAGTTCGCATCGATTTTTGGTTCTTGGTGAGTTATCTCGAGTTATTCCTTGTAGAGTGACAGAGATTCCGGACAATCGGTATTTGAGTGGAATTCAACTTGCTGACGAGCAATATAGTTCACCCGGTCACGTTGATGCTATTCTTGGTGCTGACATTTATGCCGATATATTGAGGGAGGGCATAAGACGTGGCCCGATCGGGGCACCGGTAGCTCAACTGACGGTGTTTGGTTGGATCCTCACTGGACCTGTTGATATTAATTCGGAGAGTCATTCGACTGTGCACGCTCATCACATTCATGTTGATGAGAGTTTAGATAAGTTAATCGTTAAATTTTGGGAGATCGAAGAGGTGCCCGATACTAAAGTTTTGTCAAGGGATGATGAATATTGTAACGAGTTCTTTCAGCGGACCACCAAACGTGATCAGTCGGGTCGATTCATAGTTCGACTTCCGTTTCGCTCCAATGCTTTGTTGAGAGATTCGAAGGAGATAGCTTTAGCGTGTTTGCTTCGTTCGGAGAAACGTCGGCAGGGATCTTCCGAATTATAAAAGGCTTATGATAGTTTCATGCGCGAGTACCAAGAGTTGGATCACATGAGGAGCGCATCGCAGTCGGAAAGGAGCGCGGCTTTGTGTTATTTACCTCACCATGCAGTTCTTAAAAATGATGGTTCAAAGAAATTACGCGTAGTGTTCAATGCGTCGCAAAAGTGTTCTAACGGTTTATCGCTTAATAGTCTTCTACATTCCGGACCAAAATTGCAGGTGGAGATAGCGGCATTAATTACTCGTTGGCGTTTTTTTAGGTTTGTTTTTACCGCAGACATAGTAAAAATGTTTCGTCAAATTCTCGTACATCCTGAGGATCGGAGATGGCAGAATATCCTTTGGCGTTCCAACAGGTCCGAATCCATACAAGAGTGTCAATTGTCAACGGTGACTCATGGTACTGCTCCTGCTCCATTTTTAGCGATTCGTACCTTGTTGCAGTTGGCCGAGGAGGGTAAATCAACGCATCCTGAGGCGGCTGCTATTCTTCGGTCACAGGTGTATGTGGATGATATTTTTGCGGGTGCTGATACTTTGGGGGAGGCAACTCTTCGACGTGATCAGTTGGTTCCGTTGTTGGCTGGTGCTGGTATGCAGCTCGGTAAATGGGCGTCGAATACAGTTGAATTATTGGAAGGAATCGAGGGCTTGTCAGAAGGGGAGGTTTCTGTAGATATCGATGAGATTGTTTCAGCTTTAGGATTGAAGTGGAGTCCAAATGAAGATGAATTTCGTTTTAAGATTGATCTTCCTACTCTTTCTGTTAAGACCACGAAAAGGCTTGTTTTATCGGAGACTGCACGTTTATTCGATCCTCTTGGTTTCTTAGCTCCTATAATTGTCGTGCCAAAAATATTAATGCAAGATATGTGGATTGAAAAATTAGATTGGGATGTAGCTCTTCCAGCTGACTTAGAGAGGCGCTGGTTGGCATTTCGTGATTCATTGAATCAGTTGAGTGAGATTAAGATTGTTCGTGCAGTGGGAGTCATATCGACTGAAAACTGGAGTCTCCATGGGTTTTGCGATGCCTCTCAAAGGGCATACGCTGCCGCAGTTTATTGTGTAACTTCTGATGGAAAATCTACTTTGTTACCCAGCTAAAAATTTGTCATAAGTTCTTACATAAGTTCTTATGTAATTTCTTATGTAACTTCTTATGTAATTTCTTACATATGGTCTAATGTAAGTTCTCATATAAGTTCTTTAAATAGAACTTATGTCAGAACTTGTACACGATCTTACATTTGCTTATCAACCGAGAACTTACATAAGATCTTATGTAATTTCTTATGTAAGTTGTTATTTAGTTCTTATAAGAGTTCGCGTATCAGTCGTTTAAACGTATTTAATTACTATCTACATACATACACGGTGAATTTTAAAATTTTTTCTGCACAAAAGATGTTAAAATAGCTAATACAAATTAGTAAATACCAAAAAAAGCATTTCTTACCTTCACTAAGGGCATTTGAACCTGGTCCGGAGAATCCCTAGTCAAGTGTCTTTCCCATTTAGCCAGAGTGGATTCGATACATGGGAAATAATTATTTCGTGGATAACATTTAACACCTTGGTTATCTCATTGGTTATTGAACATTTTATAAACGTACATATAACATTGTTTTGAGTCTGATAATGCGTTTCTTGACAATAAATCTAGTAATTGATTTTACAACTACTTTTCGATCACAGATTTCATTTGAACTTTACTTGTACTTTTTATTCTAAGCGAAAAATAATCTATTTTAAAAAGTGTAATAAATTTATTGTAATTGTTACGACAACAAAGTTGAGGATTAACTTCTTCTCTTTAATACTTTAATGTCGGTATCAAAAACCAGCAGCAAAAACAGTTCCTCACTTATATAAACATTACTCAAAAGATTATATAAATTCTTAAAATATTAGTTACTACACATGAAATAAAGTTTTTAAAAAAGTATTTGATTTAAATAAGAAGTGGAAAAACACGTTCCTTGACTAGTATCAGAGATTGTAGAAAACAATAATTTGAGGACTCAATAACATCGATGTTAGTATCAGATGTATCATATGAGGACGTCAATTCTTTCCCATGTATCGAATCCACTCTGGCTAAATGGGAAAGACACTTGACTAGGGATTCTCCGGACCGGGTTCAAATCCCCTTAGTAAAGGTAAGAGATGCTTTTTTTTGTATTTACTAATTTATATTAGCTATTCTAACAGCTTTTATGCAGAAAAAATTTTAAAGTTTACCATGTATGTATCTAGATAGTAAATGAATACGTTTAAACGACTGATACCCGAAGTCTTATAAGAACTGACATAAGAAATTACATAAGATCTTATGTAAGTTCTTGGTTGATAAGCAAATGTAAGTTCTGACACAAGTTGTGATAAAAGAACTTATATGAGAACTTACGTAAGAACTAACATAAGAACTGACATAAGAAATTATATAAGAAATTACGCAAGAACTTATGTAAGATCTTATGACAAATTTTTAGCTGGGTAATAGCTAAGTCCAAGGTGGCTCCAGTTAAGACTCAGTCGCTTCCGCGGTTGGAGCTCTGTGGGGCTGTTCTCCTTGCTCGTTTGACAGATTTTATTTTTAGGCAGCTTAAAACGAAGCCGAAAAGTATTTCTTTTTGGAGCGACTCCCAGGTTGTGTTGGACTGGTTGAAGAGTCATCCGTCGCGCTGGCCTGTTTTTGTTGCCAATCGTGTTAGTGAGGTATTAACTCGTTTTCCTCGTGTCACATGGAGTCACGTGAGGTCTGCCGATAATCCTGCGGATATTGCTACTCGAGGAGTAACACCATCGCGACTAGCTCCCAGTGAATTATGGTGGCGTGGGCCTGCGTGGCTGGGTGAAGATATTCCTCCATCTCTGTCGGTGGCATCCATAGAGGGTTCCCAGGCCGTGGCATCTCTTGTGGCTAACGAAGTAGAGGAGAGTTTGGGTAAAGTAGAATCTGAAGCACTTACTCGGTTGAGGCAAATATCAAAGTATTCTAAGATTTTGAGAGTGCTAGTGGTTATACTTCGGTGGCGACTTGGACTGCGAGTATCGAGTGCAAATGTGAGTTCCGTTGCTTCGTGAACTTGGGCTTACCTGGCGGCACGTATCTCCTTTTATAGACTTATACAGAGCCATCATTTTGCTCGTGAGATTGACCATTTGCAGAGAAAGCGCTCGATACCAATGATCTCGCGTTTGTTGCAATTGGCGCCCTTTATTGATAAAGACGAAGTGCTGAGGGTTGGTGGAAGGCTTCAAAATTATGTATTGACTTTTGAAGAAAAACATCCTGTTATATTGCCGGCTGATGAGCCATTGGTTCGACGCTTAGTTGAGTATTCTCATATTATTACCATGCACGGTGGGGTTGCGCTCATGCGAAGTTATCTAGGTCGTTTTTGTTGGATTGTCCATGGTAAAAAGCTGATCAGGAGTGTTTATAGGAAGTGTGTGATTTGTACGCGTCATGCTGGTAAGGTAGTTAAACAAAAAATGGGTATTTTGCCTTCCTATCGATTGAATGGAACTCAAGCGTTTGCCTTCACTGGAGTTGATTTTGCTAGACCGTTTCCCATACTCTTTTCTAAGGGTCGCGGGGCCAAAACGGTCAAAGGATACGTAGCGATCTTTGTATGCATGACTGTGAGAGCTGTACACATCGAGGTAGTGTCGGACCTTTCTTCTGAGGCATTTCTTCCAGCATTTCATCGGTTTACTGCTCGTAGAGGTGTTTGTGTTAGGGTTTTCTCTGATAATGGTACCACGTTTTGAGGTGCTTCACGAGAAATAAAGAGCCGTTTCAATGGAGCGTTCAAGGAAATGAATGCTGTTGTGGCTCGACTGGCGGAACAAGGGATTATATGGGAATTCATTCCACCCAGGGCGCCTCATTTTGGCGGTCTGTGGGAGGCAGCCGTTCGATCTTTTAAATACCATTTGCGTAGGGTAGTGGGTGAGAATTCGCTTACTTTTGAAGAATTTTCGACTTTGGCAGCACAGATTGAGGCCTGTCTAAGCTCTCGGCCTTTGTGCCCTTTAAACTCGCAGGGTGAGGATAGTGTGGCATTGACCCCGGGTCATTTTTTGATTGGATCCGCACCTCTGTCCGTTCTTGAGTCCTGCTCTGATCAAGGTGAACGATTAACTTTGTATCGGCGTTGGAACTTGCTTACTCAGATGCGCAATTCTTTTTGGGTTCGCTGGCGCAAGGAAGTCCTGAATCAATTTCAACAGAGAAGTAAATGGCTTAAGGAAAAGGAGAATTTGCAAGTAGGTGACGTAGTGATTTTGCGTGATGAGCAATCTCCTGCTGGTCGATGGCCATTGGGTCGAGTGATTGAGTGTTTCCCTGGCTCTGATGGGTTGGTGAGAGTGGTAAGAGTCAAGACAGCGGCTTCAGAATTCAAGCGACCAGTCATTAAATTGATAAAGTTGGCGGTTGATCATGAATTAGGGGTCGCGATTGCTCAAATAAATGGGAGTAAGTTGCTAGAGCAAGGCGGGCGGTAGTCAGTTGTGTTGGTTAACTCTCCAGGCAATGCGTAAAAAAAAAAA